GGTTGGCTTTCTGGGCTCCGAGCACAAGTTGCCGGCTCATGTCCAGCTTTTCATCCACCTGCACCCCCAAGTCCTTCTTGGCAGGGCTGCTCTCAATCCCTTCATCCCCCAGCCTGTATTGATACTGGGGGTTGCCCCGACCCAGGTGCAGGACCTTGCACTTGGCCTTGTTGAACCTCATGAGTTTCACAAAGGCCCACTTCTCAAGCTTGTCCAGGTCCCTCTGGATGGCATCCTGTCCCTCAGGTGTGTCAACCGCACCACTCAGCTTGGTGTCTTCTGCAAATTTGCTGAGGGTGCGCTCAATCCCACTATGTCATTGATGAAGATATTAAACTGTACTGGTCCCCATATGGACATTGTACCAATACAGACAAGTGATACCTGAGTGTGAGTCGCTTTGTCTAGAGCAGAAACGTAAGCAGGTCTGAAGGGCTTCACTAGGGTCATCCAGGTGGGCAGCGGCACCATCTCCCTCCCGCTTGGCAAGAAACCCCAAACAAGCCCATCTGCTTGCCCTGAAGAGCAGCATGTTGCAGAGCCGGCCCCCTCGGGTGCTCCAGGATCTGGCCCACGCTAGATGTATGCACCAGAGGTGGATGTACCCAGCCCAGCATCCTCAGCACCAGCCTCTGGCTTGCTGTAGTGCCGTTCAATCCAGAGATGCTCTATGCAGCCCTCATGGGTAAAGCCACTTGGCTTGCTCCAAGCATCGTCCCTGTGTATTGGGGGTAGCAGGGTCTTGCCTGCACTCTGGGCTTTGCCAGAAGAGCTGTGGCTGTGTTACTGCCCAGCTTGGGACGAGGGTTTGCAGGACCTGCTGTGCACCGTGAGGGTCTCTGAGGATGCTGGGAGAGGGACTGGGCCTGACGGGATACTCCATGCTGTGCCTTAAAAAAAACCTCCCTACCATCATGGCATATCTCTGAGCCATTCCTGCGTCAGCTTGGAGGCATGGTGGCGAACCCAGAGTACAGCAGGGCAGAAACCTTGGCATTGCACAAGACTTCTGGGGCATTTACAGGAACAAACATGGGAAAACAGAGGGATAAGGGGATAAAAAGGGTCCATCGCGTGTCAACAAGTTGCTGGTCAGTACATTTGACTGGCTGTGCCCTGTGCTCAACCAACACAGTCTGTCCTGTCTTACTAAACTGCGATTCTAACTATTTCACCAGGTAAGGGTCTCTATCTTCTGTGTGCATGAGTGTGTTTGGGGGTCTGAGCACCAGCAACTGGTCTCCAAACCAGGGGTCAGAGGCCACTTGTCCCTGGTGCAGGGGACACCCATGTTTATGGCTCACTGGAGTGTCCCTGCCAGGGCTGCTGCTGGCACGGCTGAGAAGAGCAACTGCCCCATCCCAGGGGTGATGTGTGGTGGCGTCAAGCTGCACCCAGGTGTTGGGTTTTGGGACTGCTGTGCCCCTGGCAGGGCTTTCCTGGGTGCATGCGTGTGCAGGTGCTGGGGTTGAGCCGGGTGTGGAAGCGTCTGCCTGGCCCCGCATGTCCTGTGGCATGGGTGTCATCCACTGGGCAAGAACACTGGCGCATCCTGAAAAACACAAGCGTAGTCCTTGAATCCTCCCTCAGCATAACCTGAGGTCTGGACGTAGCAAAGACCTGCTAATTAAGGACTGTTGTAATTTTATTTTTTTTTAATTAAAGAGTGCAAAGTTAAAAGGCAGACCCAGAAGAATGTAAACATCAGTAAGGTTGCAAAGTTAAAGGGTAGCATGAGCCTCAAGCAGCCTGAGTTGGAGGTATCTGGTCTTTC